GACAAGGAAAATTGAGAAAATTTTGGAAATTTGGAATCTCCAGATCGTCAGAAAGCGTATTTGTCCATGTACCCCCAGGCCAACGATGCGTCTGAACGTCTTTATTTGGTTGGTCGATTGTTAACTCTAATTCTACGTTTGCCCACAGCGTTGTCAAAGAGTTATTGTACGACTAGTGGGATAGCGTCATATAATGGTAAAAATGCGTAACTTTAAGATCATTTTAGTTATGCGTGCGGGACAGCGGGAACAAAAGCAGCCAATGCGTAACTTTCACGCGAAATGCGGGAACCTTGGCAGGTCTGGGTATTTGAGTTTATAAACAACGTGAACAGTAAAACCACAGAGTAGAGACATACAGAGACGTAACTGACCGTCGTAAACACTGCGGAATATTACGTTATCATGTACCCACTTTTTTTCAGGCGACCGGGCGAAAAATGATCAACTGCGCGTGCTCAGCAAGTTTAAAGTGAGTCGTCATCAGGTCGTCATCCAATCAGATGCATGCATCTAGTAACATGCCGAGCATGCGCACAAAAAAAGTGGGTACACTAGTTACGTCTCTGTATGTCTCTACTCTGTGGTAAAACCTTGTGGTAAAACAGTATATGAAAAGATGGCGTGACCTATTAAAGTTCAAAGTACTTTGTCATACGATATGACGTCACATGCAGTTCTAGTTTTTCGCAACATTAACTATATTATTGACACATGTTGCATCCATTAATTGTGGGATGATGTTGGGAAACATGTTGAACTGGTTTTTTAAAAGGACCTTCAAGGCAGAATTTCGGACAAACATGCATACATATCCAGGGGCGAAACTAGCCCCTTTTAATTAGAGGGGTGTCTGCTAGAATTGCCCTGCGAAAGCCGATGATGCCCTGCAGCAAAACCTTTTTTTTGGGCACTATTTCTCCCAAAAAAGTTGGCGAGCGGGGGGGGGGGTCGTGTCACCCCCACACCTCCTCAAGTTTCGTCCCTGCATACATCACAAGAGATAAAATACTACCGGGTGGCCCAAAAAAAAGTACTCCTGTTTGATTCGTAATAACTTCTAAACAAGTAAAGTTTTTAAAGAGAAATAACTTGCATTAAATAG